GGCCATATGGTCAAACTTAAACCTAAAACATAAAATTTCAACGTTCGATATAATCATCCTCCTTGTTAGAACTTAAATACTATAAGAATTGTATTATTTTCTATAAATACTTTAAGCTTTTGAGTGTAATTCTTCCAATTTTATTAATACAATATTGCTGTAAAAGTCTCAAATTCGAGTAATGAAAATTTCACCCTTTTCATTAGTTTTTTTACTAAGTATCTTCTTATCTTACCCATTGAACTTTATATACAATCCTTTTTTTTATCATTTTTCATCTCACCTTCGTTCAAGACTTTCCTTATGTACAATCCCTTAATATTAGTTCATGGGACTTGACTTTCCTTATGTACAATCCCTTAATATTAGTTCATGGGACTTACTTGTGCAGAGGGTATGTGAATTTAAATATAACAGTAAGATCTTTTTTTATATATAAATGTAAACTTTTAAGATAATTCATTATTCAACTTAATTTTTCTTATATCATAGAGATAAGGCCTCATCAACGGATTAAAATGATGAATGGAAGTTCAATTTATACCACCATTAGCAAAATTAAAGAAAAAGAAAACAAATTAAAACTTATTCTAAGTTGCAAGTTCTAACTTATAGTACAACTTTTTTTTTTTGTTCAGAACTTCTAATACAATTAAGATATAAAATATATATATATATATATATTGAATACTTCTATATATATACATATTGAATTAAAAATGAATACCTCAAAAAGAATATAACGAAGATGAGATTAAAAGCTTCCCAAAGAGATTAGAAGAGAACAACTGTCCAAATTTGCAAAATAATCACTTTACCCCTTAAGCAAAATGATTGACACTATTTAATATTATAAATTGATCATTTTATCCCTTAATTTAAATAAAAAATCAATACAACTATAAATAATTATTTTTATTATATTTAATTTTTATAATTAACAAATATATCATTATATTAATATTAGCATTTATTAAGATATACCAAAAATTAAATATTTTCTGAAAATAAAATTTATTTAAATAAAAAATGTATTCTCACAATAATACACTAATAAAAATTTATAAAAATTAATAATTAAAATAATTAGTTTTGATTTATTATTACTACTTTTATTTATAATTGTTGGGATAACTGCCAATAATGGGTGGATTACACCCATGGAATCAATTGCCTTTGGCAATTTATTTTACTAACAGGAAACTGCTTTAGGCAGTTTACATTAAAAGTAATAATTGCCACCCATCTCCAATTAGAAAAATTATGGCACTCGGCCAAAAACAATATACAAGAGAAAAAAAAAAGAAATTAACAAAATAAAGGGAATGCAATCAGGTAGGCATTATATAACTTTTAAGAGAAATTTTTATTTTGATGTGTTTAAAGATTTATGTTGTAGAAATAAATAATTTTTTTATTATAATATTGTTCAACAATCAATAATTTAAGTCAAGTTTTTACTTTCTCTTCCACTAAATAAGCAAATATAAATAATTATATTTGTTTGTATATCTTGCATATATTTATCTTTTAATTATATTTTTTAATTTAAATTTTTTTATTATTAATATAAGTAAAAAATTATAAATATTTGAAAACAAAACTGCAAAGCGGAAGCAGCATTCTATAATATATATATATATATATATATATATATATATATATACACTCGTGTGTGTGTACTAAAAATAATGGTAGCTATTAAGGTACCATTTCCGTAAGGTTGGGAACATCTGAATGATCCAAAAATTGAGATCTTAAATTAAGCAATCTCTGTATATTTGACAGATTATAATTAATTAATTAATTGATTATTGATTAACTAGAATTTGCTCACAAATTGAAGTAAGCTGTAACCCACGCCACGAGACAGCACAAAAACAGACAGGCATCCCATTTAATTACAAACGCATTTCTTAATTTGTTGGACAGTTAAGGGTCGCCAATGGTAAATTAATACAGTTTAATTATAAATTCGTGGTGGATTAGTTTAATTGAGAGTGATGTTATAAATACAAAAGCCCTATCTTTAATGCTTGTGAATGTGGGAAAACATTGAATAAATAATATAATCAATAATCTATGAGCATACATGACTGATTTGCAATTGAATATATAAAAAAAATTTAATTTGAGTTTAATTCAATTAATTTATATAATTATTTTTAAAAAATAATTATTAATAAATTTAAATTTTAAATTTTAGTATTTATATTTTTTATTTTTAAATTATGATTTTTTTTATAAATAGATATATAATTTTGAAAGTGGCTTTTTCCATAAAATGAAAAATATACTATTTTTTTCATCATTTACCCTCAAATTCTTCTCGCTAGGTTTTCAGCATCTTTTTCTACATTTCTTCATCCAACTTTGCTATTGTTCTTTAAACAAAAATAAAAACAAGCTACTTGAAAAGCAGCAATAGATTTACAGCCTACTTTCAGCAAAAAGTGACAGCACCTTTTTTTATAAATGACATCTCATTCACTTTATCCATACAAATATTCCATCAAATGATCAAACTCTAACTTTCATGCAGAAAATCACAGAACCTGCCCAACCAATTTGCTCCCTTCTTTTCTTTCCCACACCTGATGTGGACGAAGATTCTAACTCTTACCAAATCTACATATAACACATCAAAGTGACGTTTTAGATCTTTTTTATTCACTTCCCCTCAGAGATGCCATTCCTTACCCATTTTATCTTTCTCGTTATGGCTTTACTTCATTTGACAAGATAAAAAGAAAACAATGAGAAATTTATCTAATTATAAAGTTTTTTTAATTCAAAATTTATCTTATTTAATTCATTCAATTACTTTTTAAATATAATATCAAATAATTTTAAATTCAAATATTAATTTAAATTGTAATTTTTTTGATAATTTATTTTTAAGTTGCAATTTTTTTTATATTAAAAAAATATTCTCTTACATTCTTATTCCAATAAAAAAAATTACATTCTTATATACTTATTCTTATTTTATGTTATCAACTAATTCAATAATTGATAATTAATTCTTTATTAGCTTGTACAACCAATATAATCTAGGTTTTTTTTTTTTTTTTTTTTTTTCTAAAAAAGATCTCATTTTTCGAATTGTTCATAATCTGAATGTATCATACCTTGTAAGTTTTAAAGATACAAATTATGATTTAGAGACTAGTCAATTTGGGACACCCGGAATTCTCATAAGTTTATACTTTATAGAATTGAAAAAAAAAATGTGAAATGTAACCGGTCAACAAAACTAAAATGCAAATGTAATTTACTAATATTTGATAAAATTCAATTAACGGATGTTTATAAATATCGGTTAAGAATAATTATATTATTATTTTTATAAAATTATAAATTAAATTATTTTCATCAAATTTTAAAATAATAATAGTGCAATGTATTCATCTAAACTACACTATATATTTTATACTTACGCTACATATATTTTGTTAACCGATTATACCGATGGCCAAAAGGCAAAAACCATTATACTTAAGACATTTTTTTCCTCTCAAAATCATTAATAAACCCTAAAATGTAAGGCTCGTTGTAATATATTAAAAAACCGCTCTAAGCTCAAAAAGGAGGCAAACGCTTAGGCTGGCTAGAAATCCAGAGGAGAAATTGTCCATATCTATGGGACAGGTGCACGTGCGGTGCATGAAAAAAAGACAAAAGTTAATCAATTTTGTATTTGGAGAACAGGGAAAAATCTGAGTTCGGTGATGTTGAATTCTTGACTTCGCGAGTGTGTGTTGCCACAATTCTATGTGTACGGTTTTGTAGTTATTAGTGTTGGATTGGATTCAGGATGGGATGGTCCAGCCTTAAGATATATATGAATTTTAATGGCAAAACTAGTAGAGAAGCATGGAAAAGTTTCAAAGGAAAAAAATAGTCCATGAATTGAATCATCGTCTAATTCTAAACCACAATGATTTTTGGCACTCGAAATCCTTTCTAGTTGGCCCTGCCCTTTGGTGGGATCATTGCCTTCTAATTCTTGCCACACGTCCTGTTTGATTTCTTACAAATACCATGCAAAGACCTTCAAATCAAACAAAAAAAAAATTTCATTCAATGATTATGAAAGTTGAATTGAAAATAACAAAAAAAAAATTAAATCAATTAATTCATATAATCATTTACAATATTCAATCGGTCAAAAATTTAAATTTTAATATATGCAATATTGCAACCCATTTTTTTGTCTACAAATTATAATTTTTTTTATAAAAAACAAAAAAATAAGAAAAAACTCTGCATTCACTTCTGGAACGAAGAATACATTTGAAGGATATTTTTACTGCATATTTTCCAAAAAAAAAAAAAATCAAATTTGAGTTATTTATCATTATGGTAAATACATTTGGAAGAATATGGGTGGAAAGAAAGATTTAAGTTCTTCTATATGCTGTTACTTAAAAAAGAAAATTCTCCTATATCCTGTCATTATCAAATCTTAGTTAGTATAAATTTTTGGGTATTAATCCTTATCAGTTTCAATTCTCAAATGGAAAATAAGGGCAAAAAATAAAATAAAATAAAATGCCATTTGTCATAGGACCACATTGTAGAAATTCGGACAAATAAAAATGTAAAGAACCCGACTGAATGAACAAACAACTGATTGAACCCAAACTCTTTTCATTCACAGCTAGTTACAAAATACAAACTTTTTCCTGGAGAATTATTTGGCAAGAGAATAGAAAATTGTTGGCAAACACGAGTAAGAATAGCCTACGAACTTAGAAGATACAAACACACTTCTCAGTTTAATCAGAATCTGATGTTATGCTCTGTATTTGTATAAAATATAAAGACATAGCTTGACATATGTATTTGTATGGAATAAAGTCGGAATGGGATACAAGAGAGAATAAAAACAAATCAAGAAAACTGAAGATGAGGCCAAAAGAGGCTTCACTTAGTGACCATCACTGACGTCACTGATCTAATCTAAGAGGTTCCTTTTGAGGATTTAATATCTGAATCAAAGTTCTCTTAATAAATGAGAAAAAAAGATGGGAAACAAAACAGCATGACAACTGAGAACTGTATATTTACACATTTATAACAGGTTAAACCAACCTTTTTATGTATAACAAGATTTTTTGGAGGGACACAAGATACATACATCAAATGGTAGAGATACAAAGGGCAGTTCTATGCCATTTTGAAGTTGAAAAGATGAGGGAAAATTTTGCGGGAGCTGAATGAATCATCACTGCTTCTTTCTTCTTATCTTCAAAGAATTTCTCGTGAAAATTTGGTTTAAACTTGTTTCACCTACTGCTTACCTTCAGGGACTTCTTTTATTGTCATGTCTACCATTTCGACTGCACTAAAACCTCCATCATCGGTGGCAATGGTTGATTGGGATTCAAGTCCAGACCCTGCTTGTATTTCCTTTAACATTGCCATGACTTGAATCATTGTGGGTCGTCTCCAATGTCGATCATCCAAGCAAGCACAAGCAACCTTTAAGTGTTGTAAAAGCTCAATCCCAAGCCTTGTGTTCTCTTTCATGAGCTCTGGATCAAAGACATCACTTATTCTAAGTTTCGCGTGCTGTTTCACCCACCCCACAAGATTGTTATCACCGAAATCAGCAGAATCTGTAGGCCTTTTCCCTGTTAACAACTCAAGCAAAACTACACCGTAACTGTAAACATCACCTTTCATGGAACATCTAAAGCTCTGGTAGTATTCAGGAGGAACATAGCCAGGAGTACCAGCTAATGCGCTGACACTCAAATGTGTATCCATTGCACTCATAAGCCTTGCCATCCCAAAATCTGAGACTCTTGAATCCAAATTCTGATCGAGCAGAACATTGCTTGATTTCATATCTCTATGAATTATACGAGGACTGCAATTATGGTGAAGAAACGCCAGACCTCTTGCAGCTCCAATGGCAATCTTTCTCCTTGCTGCCCAATTCAGTTTGATTCCAGCTTTCTTTTGATCATGTAAAACATCCTCTAAGCTTCCATACTTCATGTACTCGTAAACTAGAAGCCGTTCTTCTCCCACCTTACAGTAACCCAAGAGAGGAACAAGGTTCCGGTGCTTGATCTTCCCAATGGTTTCCATTTCTGCAGTGAATTCTCGGTCACCCTGTCCACTGATATGTATTAGTTTCTTGATTGCAACAACACTCCCGTCTTTCAGTTGCGCCTTGTATACATCACCAAAACCACCAGAGCCAATAAGGCTGTCATTATGGAAGCCATTAGTGGCTTCAAGAAGATCAGCAAAGGTGAGCTTCCGTAGGGGCTTCTCAAATGTAGCCAGGTTTATGCTCGATGCTTCTCGTGCACTGGTTAGCTTCCAATTGGTATTTGCAGTGCCTGAGTGGGAATGACTGTCCATATAAACATCAAGAGCAGAATCCTTCTTCTTCCTTCTTTTCTTTTTCTCTACAACAGCTATGATCAAACCAAAGATGCAGAAGAGAGAAAACAACAATCCCATTGCCACACTCCCTGCAAGAGAAGCTTGTCTGCGATGGGACTTTTGATGCTCAGAATTTGAAGCAGCCGCTGGATCTCTTCCACAGGGAGGAAGAGGGACCCCACAGAGACCTGAATTATTAAGGAAATCATTAGCTGGAAATGTTTCCAGCTGACCCATTTCAGGAATCATGCCAGAGAGAAGGTTGTTTGACAGATTAATCTCACTGAGCATCGTTATGCGAGTCATGGATTGTGGAATTGATCCTACCAGCTGGTTGTAGGAAAGATCAAGAATGCCAAGATACTTTAAGTTTCCAATTTCTAGAGGGATGGTTCCGAAGATATTGTTGTGGCCCAAATTCAAGATAAAGAGATACGACATTGTGCCAATCTCCTTCGGAATTGTTCCTGACAGCAAATTGTATGAAAGATCAAGAAAAATCATAGAACCATTATTGTTGAATGTGGGTTGTGTGTGACCTCCATAGACTCTCGTAAAGTTGCAAGGGTTCCTAGTGGAAATTCTATCCAACTGTTCCTGTCTAATTCCTGCAAATTCTAGTAAATTTCCTGACCCGTGGCACTCTTTGCTTCCATCATTCTTGATGTACATATACATCTTCCCAGCAATAAAATTGACAGCAATTTTACCAGATTGTTTGAACAGCACAGGAGGGATAGTCCCATTCAAGTTATTAGTATTAAGATCCAACCATATCAAGCTTTGACAATCTCCAAGCTCTGGTGGGATTCTTCCATAGAAGGAGTTATTGCTGAGTTTGAGAATTGCAAGACTGGAAAGTTTGCCAAGCCAAGCAGGAATCTCACCAGTAAAATGGTTGTTGGACAATGAAATCCAATTCAACTTGGTACAGTTTCTTAGACCAGAAGGTATTGTTCCTGTCAACTCATTGAAGTCAAGAATCAACGTCTCAAGTGTCTGAATGTAAGTTAGCTCATGAGGGATTTCTCCATGGAGCTGGTTCAACCAAAGCTTCAAATCCTGAAGCTTGGAGAGAGAACCCAAGCTGGGAGGAATTATTCCCGTGAGGTAATTGAAGCTCAAATGGAGTGAAACGAGCTGAGAACAGTTACTGAGACTAGCAGGAATCGACCCAGTTAAGATATTGTTTTGCAAATACAGAACTTGTAACCTGTTTGTCGGATTTTCACACAAAGAAGCAGGAATAGACCCTGAAAAATAATTTGAACAGAGATCTAAAACCTCCAGGTTGGAAAGACTAGACAAAGACTCAGGTAAAGAACCCGATAAATAATTAAAAGCTAAACCAAGCTCCTTCAAGGAACTCATATTCTGGAATATCTCAATGGGCAGTTTACCTGTGAAGTTGTTACTAGATACATCAAAGGACTCCAAAGAAGTGCAAGAACCAAAGCCACTGGGAATCATACCAGAAAGATTATTTGAAGAAAGATCCAGCTCAACAAGACCTGAACAAGCTTCTGTGAGATACAAAGGAATCTCTCCTTGAAACTTATTTGCAGCTAAATAAAGACGCAGTAAATTAGAAGTTGGCAAAGCTGGAATCGGACCGGAAAACTGGTTGTTTGATAGATTCAAGAAGTTTAAGTTCGCACATGAAGAAATTGCGCGAGAAATGTCACCCGAAAACTTGTTCCCAGAGACATCAAGATGTTCTAAAGCTACGCAGTCTCCAAATGAAGGAGTCCCCATTGAAAAATTGTTGGATGAAAGATCCAAAAACTGCAGATTTTTGCAATTTGAGACATTTATTTCACCATTAATCTTGTTTCCTTTCACAGCCAAGACCTTTAACTCACTGCAACCACCATAAAGAATCCAAGGAACCACGTTTCCACCAGAAATCTTGCTGAAAGAAAGATCAAGAACTTCCAAACTTAGCTGCAAACCCCTGGATTCTTTACCTGAAAACTCAAGACTATTGCTTGATAAATTGAGAATCTTCAAGTTTGAGCAAGAACCCAAGTTGGAAACAGTTGATAGAGGACCAGACAAGAAGTTTTGCGATAGATCTAAGGTGGTTAACAGGGAGCTACACTTGGATCCAGAAGGGAATGAAATGTTGCCAGAGATGTTGGCTTTTAACAAAGAAAGGGATTCCAAGTTTTCAAGCGCTAAAAGGAAGGCAGCAACAAAGTGAAAATCCGTGCTTAAGGTGTAACTGAGTCGAATAGATGAAACTTTGGAGTCTTGACATCTTACACCTTCGAAGCTACAAGGGTCTTGGTTAGGAAGCCATCTTTGAAGAAGAGATGGGTTAGGCAAGCTGGCTTTGAAGTTGAGCAGTAGCTGAGAATCTTTGTTGTTAGCAGAAGAAGAAGAAGCAGCAGAAGCAGCAGCTGCTTCAAGGGAGATGAGAAAGGTGGTGGTGAAGGTGAGAGTGAGAAGAGAAACGTATGTTCTCGAGGCAAAGAAAGGTCTCATTTTTGTGGGAAATTTATTTTTTTGGATAAGAAAGAAGGTGTTTAGGGTTTGAACCCTGCTGGAGAGAAAAGAGAGAGCTTTGAGCTCTGGACTTAGAGAGAAAAAAATATAGAGAAAGGTTCGGTTTTTTCTATTGTTTTCCTACTTTTGTTTTCGGTTTGGCATTGGATTATTGAAAGAAGGAAATAGAAAGAGACAGTCAAAAGACAGAGCAAGGGTGGTAAGAAGGGTATTTATCAAGTGGGGAAGCGGCCAGCCACAGCTGTTGCTCACATGCCATGTGACACTCTCTCTTTCTTGAGGAAGCTCCATTCTTTAACAAATAGATAAATAAATAAATTCCTAATTTAACAATTTAATAATAATTAAATAATACGTTTGTCTCCAGATGGGTGATTAAGTGCATGAGATTAGGGGATGAATCAATATTTAATCTTCTACTTATAATAAACTTCTTTTTTCTTTCAGTATCTTTCTGTTTGTTTCTTGAGATAAAAGCCGGTTTTAGTTTGGGTAATCTCTCGCTTTCTTACTTGCCTCATTTGTTTAATGTTCAGAAAGGAAAAGAAAACTGAGTGTTTGTCTCTCTAGCTTTTGAAGCGTACGTGTGATGAAGGATTGATCCATCACTCTCAATTAATGGGAGATTCCCAATCTCTTAATTTAATGGGACTTTTATGTTCACGAGGATTAATCCAAGTCATTTTGGCATTTTTGTATTCCTTGACAAGGAAAGTAAGAGCGCTCTTTTTTCTTTATATAAAAAAAGTGTGTTGTTATTTGTACCTTAGTTTTTTTTTTTATATATTCTATTATTATTAATATCTAGTTTTTTACTTAATATATCATAAATTCAAAATATAAATTTACTAAAAATCAAAATTTCCCGTCTCTTCACACATCACCTTTTTTTTTTAACAAAAATTTTAAAAGATTTTAAACCCCAATCAAATTAAAATTTAAAAAAATTCCACCCATTTACAATTAAAAAAATATAAAATAAAAAAATAATTTTTTTTATTTGATTTTACATTTAATTTTGTAAGATTTTCTATTAAAATATTTAGGTATGATTTAAAAATTTTAAAAATAAAATTTTAAAAATTTTTGAAAATAAATATCCAAAAGCTTTTAAAAAATTTTAAAAATATAAGTTTTTTGACAAATGTGTAAAAATTTTTAAAAACTTTTGAAAATCTAAAATAAATATCTAAAACCCTTTAAAAATTTTAAAAATCATTTTCGAAATTTTTATAAGCTTTCAAATATTTATTTCCAAAAACGTTAAAAAATTTCTGCACTAAAACAAAATACTTAATGATTCATAAAGATAAACTCAAATCAATTAAAGCACTGTTATTTTGTCTCGAATGTCGAACTCAATTAATTAAAAAAAAAAAAGAAAGAAAGGTAATTTCTTTCCCTTAGTACGTGATAACTATACAGTCGAACACATTAAAAACTAAAGAAACATAAAAATTAAAATCTACAACCACTTTTGATGGAGCAAAGCCCTCCATTATCTACAGCTACAAGTACTTCCAACAAATGCTGCTCTCACATATTCAATCTCATAAATTGCAAGTAATAACCCAAAATTCTAGCATAACACCAACATACCTACTCACTTTCCAACTTTCATAACTTTTCCTAAATTTCCATAATAATAAAAAAAATTGAAAAAAATTCAATGTCATTTCTTTAAATATCAATTCAGGTTACAAATTTGGACTAGTAAACAGTTTTTTTAGCACACAAAGAGCAACACGATCCAATGCTTATAAACACCGGTTAAAGACATTTAATTTTTTATTTTAAAATACATTTAATGCATTATTTTTGTTAAATTCAAAAAATATATATTAATTTTAAATATGATCTTAAATAATACCATTAGCTATTGATTAACATTTCTTATGTCAACAACTTCACAATATAAACATCATCAAAGCACAAAATTACCTAAAGTTTTTACTATTTTAATTTCATGTAGGGTTAATTTGTGATTTAGTTTCAGAATCATCCTACATTTCCAATTTAGTACATAGAGAAAAAATATTTTTAATCCAAATTTCATTTTTATCAAATATTTTATTTCACATATTAATTTTTATTAACGATAAAATGATGTGACAGAAAAATTAAAATATCATGATACATGATATATTGTTATTGATTAATATTTGTCAAGTTAGCATTTTGTTGTTAATAAAAAAATGTTTAATAAAAATAAAATTTAGATATTTTATAGTAAATTTTTTCTAAATATCAAATAGTTAATATTAATGTAATTCAGGATCAAATAGTATGTTAACCTTTTTATGTATATTTTAAGATTTTCAAAGTAAATAAATCACTAACTTTCAATTGGGTTTCGCATTTTTTAACATTGAAATTTATGTAAAATATCAAAATATGCTTGAAAATATAATTATTTTTTAACTTATATTGTTTAACTTTTTTTTTTTTTGGAATTAAAAAAACAAAGCTAATCGCCAACATCTATGAGATTACAGTGGCAAGACTGTCCATACACTGTTATTGGCCCTCGTGTATCAGAAAATACAAGGCTGCCATCAAGCACTGACAACATCTGACGGTATCTTCCACTCTCTAGTCAGCGCGTTTTGCACACTACCCGGCCGACCTTTTATCGAAGCACATGCGTGTTAATATAAACGACAATTCAGATTTTCGAAAGAGGCTACTGTCTCATTGTGTATCTGTCAAGGTCACTTACTCCTTTTCCTCAAATAATTGGCGCTTTTTTCACGAGCTTTCGTCCCGGTGGGTTTGGATTTTCGCTTCATGAATTTTTATGGTTGTACTTGTACTTAGAGGTGTGGCACTGTACGAACGGGCCCAGGGCTTTGTCAACACCCACCGTTGATCTTCTTTAAAAGGTCAAGATTTCATTTTATTACATCAAGGTGGGTTCTTGTCGGGGCCAAGGCAATTGCTGGCATTCGCATATCTAACAGTAAATCTAACGTACTCTGGAGGTTATAGTAGAATATAACCCTGGAATATAAAGAGTTAAAGGGGCATTATAGTAATATCGTCACTCAGGTGGTTTTTACTCATGGCGAGAATTGAGATGCATTAGAATTTGAGGTTAATCCATTTTTATTTATATATATATCAGGTGATATTTAATAAGTTGAGAATTTAAATTTTTATAATTTTTTATTATTAAATTGTAATTTTTATTTTTATGTTTTATTAAAAGAATATATCAATTTGGTTTTGATTTTTTGTTTTTTTTTTTGGCTTTTCATTTCCATTGAAAGGAAATTGATTAAATAAAATTTAATTTGATTGTTTTATATAAATTCTTCTTTTTGCACCACTGAAGGAATGCAAGATATTTTTAAATGTTATTATTTTCAATTTTTTGATTAAAGTATTCTTTTTTTTTTCAGCAATTGCGTTTTAGTGGATTCAACTTCAACCCAATGTACATTTTTATGTTATCATTGTTCATGTTTTAGTTATTTTTAGAACTTTATTCAATATACTTAATTTTCCTTTAAAATTAAGTGTATTGATATTTCAAATTAGATTACACACAAATTTTAATAGTTACTTATTCTTATGTATTTTCATTTTAAAATTGATGAAACTTATGATTGGAGATTGGTTTATATGTATTTTGAATGTAGTTTTAATGAAAGTTTATATATATTTTTTATGTTTGTCATTATTGCAAGCTTAGATTTTTTTTTTGGGTGTAATTTGATGTTATTATTTTGATTTTTGTGGTAGTGTATGCTTTAGATATGGATATTATTAATAGAGCAAGGGATACTAAGATTAAAAGTGTCGTAATTGTTTTAGGGATGGTTAAAAAATTTTTTAAAAAAAAGTTATTATTAATTTTTTATTAGGTGTGATTGATTACTTATTAAAATTTATATTTTTAATAAAATCTTAAAATTTATTAAAATTTATTAAAAAGATAATTTTGAAGTTTACAAAAATAATTTAAATTCAATAATCGATTACGTGTTGAAAAAAAATTAGCATCCTCACGATACTCATTTTTAAAATGATATTAATTAATTATGTTCTATCTTTTGAATTTTAACCAAAATGGTCTTAAGCTTGGTATTTATCAATAATTTTCTTGATTTATTTTATTTGTAATAATTTTTTTCTTTTTTTATTCTCTTTTTTTTTTTTTAGAAAAATGAATTAAATCGTTGTTATTGAAAAATTTTTTAAAATGTTCCAGTACATTGATAACTTTGAAACACAATTTTTTTACTTAAGGATTTCTTAGATATTGCTACTAAGATTACTTTAAAATTTTATCATCGAAAGCTTGTGTTTATTTTTCAAAATTAAATGACATGCATGTAATGTAAATAATGAAATATTGGTGTACATAATTTATTTATTCAATTTTTTAGAAATATTTATTTATTTAGTTATTTATTTTCATTATTTTTAGAAGAAAAGAAAATTTTTTATTATATTAAAAAATTTTATAAATATTCAAATACGCTGGTAGTATTTAAAAGAAATTCTCACCTATATATTCCTGAAGTATTACTACTCAAAACACTTAGAATCTCATCATAGGAAATTTTTTAAAATCCTTGTTTCAACCTAAATTTATATAATAATACATTATCTATAAATAGATTTATTTCCTAAAAATGTATACTTTTATAGATATTTTTTATTTTTTATTTCTTTTAAAAAAATTATTCTAATAAAAATATGAGAATCTTTGTATTGAAAAAAACTTATAGATATTATAATACTTTGATAATTCTTAAAAGATTTTTCTCATCTAAAAAATTCTCAGAAACCACTATTCGAATTTCTTGGAGTCCTTTCATCGAAAATTCACATGTACTTTCAATTTTAATTTTTTTTTAAATCCATTCTTTTTTCTCTAAAAATTTTTTTATTCTAAATTATTATAAATTGTTTATGAAAAATGCCTTTTTTTTAATTGCAACCTCAATCATTCACAAACAAATTTATACACTTAACACCAAAATATATATAAAAAATAAATAAACAAATGAAAAAATAAAACTAAAGTAAAATTTACCATCAGTTAGGCTAAAATCCAAATCAAAATAACA